AATATAAAATTTATACGAAATTATAATTAATATAAAATAAGTAGGTTATAAAATATATATAGATAATTCATGAATAAACTAAAATAAGAATAATTATTTTGTATGAAAGTTAGAACTTAGTTTTTATTATAATTTCCAAAATATTTAAAATCAGAGGTAACAAATTAATTTACTCCATTAATTATATAATCTCCCATTAATGTAGGATATTCACAAATGCGGAAAGTGGCAACATTGAACTTAAATGGCAATATTCGATAATTTTATTTAATTATTTGATGTGTTTTACGTTTATATGAAAACAAGAACTAAAAATTATGTGTTGAAATTGATTCCGCTTGATTTATTACGTTTTTGTGACCTTGATAATATATAAATCAATGCTTAGTACTTAGAAAGTTATCAACAATAGGCATTGTGTCACTGCAGGGACAAGCACAAACGTCTATCAAAATAGTAACGTATATAAACGGAATACTAACAGCACAGACTTCCTTACAGAAGTCCAAAGAACACGTCTAGGCAAGGTAAGTAATTAGAAGAAAACTACAATTTAGAGATCGATTGTAAATCAAATTCACAGTACAGACACAATTAGCGAAATATGAATAAAATTTTGATTTATTTTATAATAGATAACGCCAGTTGAAAACTGAACACTGTATGGGAATGGCATCACTGAACGAGTCAGGTGGTCAGTCCAAACAAATAAAAGTCGCGATTGTAGAAAGAGATTCGTTACGAAACGTTTGTAGGCTAGGGGCTTGGCCTGTTTATGCTATTCATAACGAAGGCTATAAAAAATATGTATAACTTAGAAACTAAATACTGTGTGTACTGATCTGTATTCATAACCCAATATCTAAGGTAGGTTGATGCGCTCCTTAGTTTTTATATAGTTCGTATTATTCTGTAATAAATTAAATCTAATCTAAAATATACTATAATACCATAGCAAAGCTACTACTATTTTATTTAGTAGTAGCTTATATAGTAGTATAGTAAATTATATATAAACAAATATGAGTATGTCTGAGGTAAGGTTAAATATAAACAAATATTTTGCCAAGTGCGAATCGGACTTCCGAGCTTCCGAGATTACAAGATTTAAATACCTATAAAAATTACTATCGATCAAAAGATGCCAAAAATACACGTTTCTTTTTCTAGTAGAAAATCCTTTAATTTCAAATTTATTTTTATCCCGTAATAGGGCCCTGCTGGTTACCCTTCGGGTACGGAATCCCAAAAAGTACTAAGTTGTCCACTCACATCTGTATGATTCTTTCTTCAAAGGACCGTATTATCCTGGTTCTCGTATGACATGACCAATATAATACCTGGACTGACCTCTCTGAGTTTGTTTCGGCAGATCGGGTGCTTCTTCTCAGTTTCATGTTTTTGTTGTGTTAAAGTGTTTTTAAAAAAAAAAACAACACAAAACACTTTTTATTTATCATACTGCCCTTCTTAGATTATTATGTACTTACATAATTACATTAGGTATATTAGGATATGAGATTCCTATACGTAAGCAAGATTATCGAAAATCTAAACATTACCTATTCTAATTAAATTAATCGATAATTTTAAGATTTTCGATAATCGTGCTTATCCTATGAGATGTTTTCGTTAGTTAGCAAATTAAAGTAGTTAAGTACCTAATGTACTACCTGTATCTAAAGTTCATTATTATGTACCTACCTGTTTTCAATTTTAACTAAATGTGCTTCAACAAACTTATGGGCACATTTTAGCAGCTATATTCTTTTGTATATTCATCCCGGCTTCAGCAATGGACACGAACAAAAGGAAGCAATTTTTCTAAATGAAGATGTAGATATTATGTAGGTATTACAACCATAAATAGATAGCAGCGGCTAACTTAATGAGCATGTGTGAGTGCGCGCTGCGCCCCCCCCCTCTCCGTACGTCCCACTGATCGGGGAAACAACTTGTAGCGAAAGGAAAGATGTTTTATAACAAAAACGGGCGCGCGAAATTTTATAAACAGACCTTTGGTAGTCTGGATGTCACGAAAAATCTATTGAATGTATCTGTTTAAAATAAAATTATTTGCATTTTTGAACAACTAATCTATCCCTGTATGGTAACTGTTTTGCAATTTTCGTTCTTCTTATGGTATTTATTTCCGCCCAAAGATGTGTTAAAACTAGTGTTGAAATTCGGAATTTTCGAAGCTTATAACTTCTAAACATACTCTTTTTTTTACTTTTTTGTTTCCATACAGGGCTAGATAATGATGAGACAAATAGAAATCATTTTTTATTTTGAACGTACACCATTAAACAGTGGAGTAATCGCCGGACTACGTTTGTATGGAAGAATAAGCGACTAGTGTACCCTTAATATGTAAATGTGAGTTAGAATAGATTTATCAGTGTTTATCTGTGTCTCTGATAAACGGACAATAGACGGATAAGCGGAGGAGCTGATAAGCGGACTATGCGTAAATCAATATACTGGTAGTTTTATTATTTATTGTTGTTTACCAGCTTTAAAAACTTTGGAACATTTTAACAATATAAATCCTTCCGTTGTTTTATTATTAAAAAAGGCAAAGGTATCGGTAGTTACACAGCCTAATCTAGGAGTGTTGAAAAAACAAAAACACTTTCTTTTTTTTTAAGTGCGTGCAATATTCTTTGTGAAATCTAAAACAGTAACTTGTGCAACTAAATTGTGTAACAAGCGATAGTTAAAAAAAAACTTAATAGTGACGGTAAGGCAACGATCCATGAATTTTTCTGCCACTAGGGCGGGGCTATTTAAAAATGGGGTGTAATATCTAACAGATTTCATAGCAGAGAAGTTAATTTATTTGAAAAATGTAAAGGTTAATGTTTTTATTCTGTACTGTTAGTTATATTTTGTATTAATTAGATTAAACGTAAATAAACCAAATCACAGATATTCATAAAAGTAGAAAAATTAAAACAGGAGTTAAAATGTGCAAAAAATTAAAGAGCACACTCCTGAGGCATTGTTTTGTGTATTACTATAATACTCTAGAAACTGACAAACTTTTATTTAAGCTAACTTCTCAGTTCAATGCCATTTTGTAACAAAAAACTTCACCTCAGCGTCAATTAGCGACATCTGGCGAGCGGAAAATTATTGGCCCTCATTGTACGTTACTAGAATGTTCTATTCCTTGCATCAGTCCGTTGACCGTCCACTGTATTTATGGACGTCCATCCATCCATTCATTGCAGCCTATAAAAGTCCACTGCTGAACATAGCTTCATCATAACCTCGTTGATTGCCTCATAGGGGGATTTTGCCATAATTGACACGCTTGGCGAGTTTGTCGACCGCAGTTTTTATTATGTTGAGCTGTTATCAGGAAGATGTCTGATCTGCTTCAGTTTCCGTCTATCGCCTCTTACGACACCCACGGTCGTCCCGTGGGTGTCGTAAGAGGCGATAGTATATGTAGAGTAGAGTATGGAGTAGTGGATATACTTACATTACCACTACACGTTCATCCATAGGCTGAGTAAATTGCCGATATTGTCATTTTGAAAACCTGATTCTTGGTCGCGGTGCCACACATGCCGATTTGACACGGCATCCCGTTGGGGACAGGTTCTTTCTTAACACTACGGTACACGCGCCTGAAAAAGTTTCATGAGTGCTCGCGTGGGCTACCCTTGTAGCCCATTTAAAATCGAAATATAATGAAAGATAATGGTTTAATTCTAAATTAAAACACATTTTTGTTATTAATGACATTTATTAAGTAAACTTAAATTAAAAAAATATCTTCTCTTTCTTAAACGAAAAATATTGACTAAACTTCAGACTTCTTAAAAAATCACATAATATTTTACTTCTTTAAGATCACTTTTGGTTTAATAAAATTCAGTTTTCGTTACACGATGGACAAATCAAAATTTGGTGATCAGTAAATATACGCCTGTAGCATTTTGAGCAAGTTTTACTGGTGCTGCGATCGCGAATTCTGCTACAAAACGCACAGCGTGCAACCCCATCACGAATTGGTATATTTCCTTGTTGAGGAACTTCCGAAATGTTCAACAATAGTTCGGCTTTTGTTTTAATGCTTCCTGGAACATTATCCTGATAAATTCGTTCTAAAATTAATAGTTTCACAAGCTCAAACCCCAAAGACTGAAGAAAAATGCGTCTGATGATGTTTTCCTTTGAATTATTCAACTGATGAATAACTAGGCCATTTATAGCGGCAATATTCAAAAAATTAAAAAATAATGTAAGAGGCCAACGCCTACTATTTCTAGACACGTCATATTGACGATACATCCTGTCCACAATATCCACCCCACACTTTGTGTGGTTACAAAAAGTTGTGATTTCCGGCTTTTTTGCGTCGCCGGTAGTAGCATCTATTGCTTCATCGTGGTGCATTGTTGACAATAATAAGACCGTTTTGTTCCTTTTTGGCACATAACTGACTAGTGTGCACTCTTTCTGAAACCCAAACAAAGAACTATTTATTTGTCGGCCCTGACTAGTATTAAAATTGTGGGTATTTCTGGCTTGTTACTCTTGAGAGTGCCGACAACAGTAATTCTTTTTTCCAAAAGCTGCAATGCCACTGGACAACTGGTAAACCAGTTATCCATCGTAAAATTACATCCCATATTTATAAGCGGCTCTAGTAATCTTTTGGTCACGTCTGCAACTTTGCTGGATACACGAAATGGGCCTTCTGGTTGTTGACCACAATAAACTTCAAAGTTGTAAATATACTGGCATTTTGTGTCCACTACCATAAATATTTTTATTCCAAATTTTGCCGGTTTGTTGGGTAGGTGCATAATAAAACCACATCGACCTCTAAATGCTACGAGTTGCTCATCCAACGTCATGTGTTCACTTGGAGTAAAATATTCTAAGCAATGGTTTCTCATACGCTCAATAAAGCACCGTATGGCATCAAGCTTATCAATTTCCTGTCTTTGAGGGCGTTCGAGTATGTCATCAAATCGCAAAGATCATAGTAGGAAACAAAATCTGTTTATAGAAATTGTCAGATAGACCAGTTCAAAACCGGTCCCAATGGAGTTGTCCCAAAAGTCTCTAAGGTTTTGACGTCCTGATCTATTGGCTCCGATTACTATAAGTAACCCAACAAACGCTCTCATTTCAGTAAGATTCGTAGGCTTCGCATCTCGTTCTCTTTGGTATTTTGTCTTTATAGTATTTATGTATATATTTGTACAATTTACCAAGGATTCAAAAACATCAGGGTCAAAAAATAACTCGAAACATTGAAGAGGTGTGCTGGCATTACAAGCAGTACCCTTTGGTCCTAAAGGTTTTTGTATAATGTTGTGAGAACGTACCCTTGTAGCAGGAAATGAACGTTTCCTCCATTCTGTCTCATTTCGTGACTTATAAGAGGGTAAATCTGCAAGCGGTACACTTTCATCCGAATCACTGTTGTTTTGTCCAGCAATCCCATCATTTTCGTCATCTTCTTGCTCGGTGTCAGTGCTATGCGGAGAATGAATTATATTTTCTTCTTCCCTCAAATCCTCTTCCTGTTCGCTTACAATCAAATCATCCTCATCTGACTCCTCTTCTAGCCATCTCAATATATTTTCTTCCATTCTGCGGCCCATATTTCCGATGTGTTTTTCAAATATCAACAAAAAAGTAAGTTTAAATTTTATAACTATAAAATATAATACCAAAATTTTGAATAGAAAGATAAATATTTATGTCAATTTAAAAAAATATTTCACACTTCAAAAGTTTCGCCAGTGCACGCGTGGGCTACATACGTAGCCCAATAACTTTAAATCGTTATTACTCGCACGTGCGCCAGCGTCGAGCGCTCACGCCACACTAAACCCGTCGAGCAATAACCAATCGGAGCTTAGCTGGAGGCTCAAAGTTAAATCACACGATTTCGTGAAGTTATGAACAAAAACAATACCCTGGGCTACATATGTAGCCAACGCGTGTACTCGCGTGCTAACTATTAAAAGCCAGCGTTTGACTTCTATTCGCAGCTGATGGCAAGTGGTATACCTGATGATTATGACTGATGAATATGTCTGAGTAATATGATTGCCTCGTTGGTCTAGTGGTTAGTGCGACTGCTGATCACGAGCTCGTAGGTTGGAATCCCGGGTCAATTTAAGAATGGCATCAATAAACTGACACTGCGTTGGCAAAATGCATCAATTGCTCGGGTCTTTTTACTAGAAATAAAAAATATAGAAAAAATTACTTTAACTTATTTCATAAAAAACGGCAATTTAATAGGTAAAGACCTAATATTGTAATAATATTTCATGATCAGTGATCGAAGTCACCTAGTAGGCATACCAACGAAAACAATAAAGATAAGAAAAACATCACTAGTATCTAACCATCAGTCTCATAGCACTAATACATAAACAATTATTAGATTACCTTGCGGAAGGTAGAGTTTGACGGCTCAGTGGCTTAAGGCTTGAGGGCCGCTTGTTTTAATACCGCACGGAACAAATATCAATTCGCGAATCAAATATTTGTATGGCCTACGAATATTTGTTCCGGATCAGCCTAATGCAAAAATTATGTACGTAACGTTACGTTACGTTTTTCTTCTTTAGAAGAATATCTTAGGGGTGGCGGGGGGGGGGGGGGGGGTAAAGTTTTTTTTTAAAGAAAGAATACCTTAGAGTAATGCCTTTTCAAAATGCTCAATGGGATTGGCGGTAACGGACCTCCATTTATTTTAAAACAGTACCAGTTTTAATAACACCCCACGTATTAAAATGAATATAATCTAGGTCAGTTCTAAGAAAAGAGGACAGGTGGTAAGCTTAGCTTAGCCCAAGTAAAGGCATTTGCTAATGCCCAGCGGCGCGACTAGTACGTACTGTGCATATTACAAAATAAACCTTATTGCGTCCAGATAAAATTTTTATTTGACCGCAGTGTTATTTTAAATTTAAATTCGCGTTCTAAAACCTTCAGCAAATTGTGGACGGCTTTTTTAATTCTTGATCTACAGAACGGTCTATACATGACATCACAAATATGGCTTACCTGAATAACGTAGACCATTGACGGAAACCTCCAAAAAGCGATGCATTGGTAGGTACTGAGACAGCGTTCTAAGCCACAGTACTAAATCCCTCCAAATAAAAGTTTTTAGGCCAATATTATTGAAGTCGGGAACTCCTATATAACTATAGACATAAGAGTAGCAGGGATCACAATAGATCATTCTGGTCGCAGTGATGCTGGTCTTGTTAGACCTGCGTCTGCATCTTCAGCTGCATCACCACTTACCATCTGGTGGTGTAGGCGCTAAGCACTGGCTTATGATGATAAAAAAATGTCTGCTAACGCAAGAAGGTTATGTCCGAGTTCTCTGCACACGCTCTATATTGAAGTCTTAAATCGGCCGCATATTATCAGAAATTTTCTGTTAGAATAAGGGTGACAAACGAGCACACAGTCCACCTGATGGTAAGTGGATGCTGTGGCCCATAGACATCTACATTTATCCTCGATTAGGAATCAAAACGCAAATGCTTGTCATCCGTGAGGACTATGATGGAATGCCTCGTTTCCAGTAAAAAAGGGTCACCGGATCTCAACACTCACCGTACTTTACTTTGTACTAGATTAGAAGTACCCGCAGACTAAGAAGTTTTCCGGAACGACCGTTCGCTACATTCGTTTACCGGATACATGTCTACCCATAGAATACATACACAGGTATTATAGTATTCTATGGTTCTACCCCGCGTCAAAGATTTGTCTTGTCAGAATGTCGGCAGGCGCGCACTTCATTCCTTTTTACTAGACACCGCACTTCATCAGAAATTCCGAGGGCGTGTAGGCTGATGTGTGCACACGTGTTGGAGTACTGATAAAAGTAATTGAATTATTAATAAAACGTTTAATCACGACGGTGGGAAAACTTGAATATTGGTGATAGGTAATTCAGATTGCCGGAACGAAATATGTGGTAGAGTCATGCTGCAGCTATATTGTGTTTGTAGCACGAACGGGTCAGCTTGACCGAGGTATAAAGAATTACCGGCGTAACATAGTAGTTAATCCTGATGTATTTCGTATGGTTAGTATATAGAGATCCAGAGACCCTTTTACTGGAAACGAGGCATTCTATCTTAGTCCTCAGGGGTGATAACGCATCTGTATTTAGATTGTTAATCGATGATAAATGTAGATGTCTATCTATGCGCCACAGCGTCCACTTACCATCAGTTAGACGGTGTGCTTGTTTGTCACTCTTATATTGTAAAAATGAAACTAAATTTCTGTTAGTTTGCCGCGTGTAGAGATGGTCGCCCGGCGCGGAAATTTTCTGACAGAAAAATTGTGAGATATTCCATATTGATCCTCAAGGGTGAAAACGCATATTATAAAAAATATTTTTGCTTTTATTTATTGATTCTATCACACAGCTTTTTGCAGATATGCCATAGTGAATATCAGAATAAGGTTTTTTGCACTCCCTATTATACAGGCTGGCTGTGTCGGATTATAGAATTTGTCTGACTATAGAGTACTGCCACAGTCCCCTGGTAGTCCGGAACTTTTTGAAGAGAGTACCTTGTAATAATCCGACAGATTACATATCAAATATAAAATAACAAAAAATAAAAATGTCATGTCGTGCACAATGAGTACCTACACAGTAACTAATGAATGCACGCTAGGCCGCTACCATAAGTTACATTTGCACTGAGACAATACGCGTCAAGCTAGATTCGTGGTGGCGCGAACTAATTGCAACCTGTTTGTCCACGTATTCGCGACGGACACCTCCTCCCCTGGCGGATTCATAGTGCGACTCGAAGCTACCCACAAGTTAAAGGCATGTCGGATTACAAGGGGAGACGGATTAGCTAGGGACCGGATTACCGGGAGTCCGCTGTTTTACATCTTAATACTCAGATCGTAGCCAGAAGCTTCCCTCTTTTAAGTTGAATGTAAGTGTCTATAACCACTCAGTAACAACAGTTAGTTCATTTAACACTCTAACATTAAAAAATACACAACGAATTGTGAACTTTACCATTTCTATCTATTCGCTCCAGATGACAATATACACGTGAAGGATGTCGGGCGGCAACTCGTCGAAGAACAAGGCGCGGTCCTCCAAACGTCAGGAAGGCTGGGAAGAAGCCGGAGGTGAATTCTATCAGGTATGCTAAATGTGCACACAATGAGGTAGCGGTAAAACAATACACTATAATAGACCGGATATAACATTAATAGATAAAGCGAATAAATGTGCTCTTATTATTGACATTGCTATACCTAATTCACATAACTTACAGACAACAATAAATGAAAAGAAATCTGAATTGAAACAACTGAATTAAAACATGAAATTATTAGAATGTGGAATTTACATAACGTCATTATAGTCCCTATAGTCCTCTCTACAGCTGATGTAATACCGATTGGAATTGAATAAAAAGCGCTTCACCAATCATTAAAAACTCTAGATTTACCAAAACTAACATATATTCTTAATATTTATTAACCCTTCCTTCACCTCCATATCTTTAACATTTCGTGATTGGTTTATGAAGTGAAGCAATGTATACGCCTTGTTGAAGCGCCTGCGTTTGCTTTCTGAGCAACGAGTCAAACAACGTACTCGTAATAATGACATCAGTAGATTACGTTAATTTTAAACAGGTTCATTGACCTTGTAATATTTTATTACCCTCTTAATTGTTGTGAGATTAATACAATCGGCCAATTTAACGTTCAAGTTGCATAATTTTAAAATTTCCCTATACTACCGCAAACGCCCATACAGTACAGACCATGAAATTTTTTAGGGCCTATATATCAGAGAAAAATTATAAAAAAAAGTTCTTTAAAAAGTTAAATGATTGATAGATAATAATTAATAGCCCAAACTAAATATTTAACGCGGTAGACCCACGCTGCAGCTATATTATGATTGTAGCACCAAGACCGGTGAAGGACCACGTTATCACAGAATAACCAACATAAAATAGCAGCTAATTACAGCTGTTTCACATGATGAGTGTAGAGAACCGGAGACCCTTTTTTTACTGGATACGAGGCATTCCATCATATTCCTCAGGGGTGACAACGCATCTGCAATTTGAATCTTAATCGAAGGTAAATGTAGTGATGTAATTTATGTCTATGGGCCACAGCATCCGCTTACCATCAAGTGGACTGTGTGCTCGTTTGTCATATCCATTCTATAAAAAAAGAACCCTTGGGTATATAGAGTGATCGCTGCCATAATGTTTATAAATGTTTTCACATCTTTTTTGTGCATCACATTTCATTCTTTCTATAAAACATAGAAGAAATGAACATAGGCCTCCCTAGATTGCCTTATGGACGCTACACACTGTCGGTTCAACTGATCATTCCAACTGATCAGTTCAAACTAAAACTTGATTTTTTTAAAATATTGAATTTCCGATATATCGATAATTATAAATATATCAATATCGGAGTTTTACATATAAGTTTATTTATCAATATATATCGAAAATTCATTGTTTTAAAAAATATCAACAGTTTCATTTGAACTGATCAGTTGGAATGATCAGTTGAACTGACCGTGTGTGGCGTCCATTAG